GCCGGGCCCGGGCGCCGCGGCGACGATGATGCCGGGGGAGACGCCGCTGCCGGCGGGGACGGCCGCGGCCTGCGCCAACTGCGGCCTCCTGCAGCAGGTAGCGGCGGCGCGGGAGGCACCGCAGCCCGCCGGGCCGGGCCGGGGCGGGCCGCTTAGAAATACCAAGTCATGAGGGCGTAAGGGAAGGTCTGAGAGGAGCCCGCGCTCCTCACACTTTCCATACATGTAATTACGGACGTGTTCTCAGTTGCGGTCTCCTGTCATTGAAAGAGCCCGTTAGCAGAAGGAGGCAGTTTATTGCCCCGTGTGGAGCGTGAGCGGTTAACGGCTGCCCGTGGTTGAGGGGGTGTTTACGGTGGGCGCCGCCGGGTCTGGGATGTTTACAGCGGGCGCTGCTGCTCTGGCGTGGAACCGCTTTACCGACTCCAGGCTCTTCCTTACAGAATTTGAACGAATATGTAGCTGCATTAATTGCGCTGAAGCAAAAGATGATTGATGGAGAGTAAGTACAATTGTACAAGTGTCACTTTTTTTTTTTTTTTTTTTTTTTTTTTTTGATAAAGAAATACAGCAAATGTGGTACTCTGGAAAGCAGATGTTCTCTAATGCAAAAAGCTACATCCTTTCAAAAGTGTATAACTTCTCCAGGAATAGCTCTGAAATCTAGGCTGTCAGGCTTATTTGTTTGTGCCCTGCGCAGTGTCCTTGTGTAGGGTGGTAAGAACAGGGCTGTTTTCTGTAGCTGTGCAGCTTGCTAATGTATGTAGCAAAGTAAGCTCTTTGAAGAGGCTTGTTTTCATTTGTCATGACGAATGTAGCAGGAGAACCGAAAGTTGACCGCAGCCATATGCAAGCCTCTAAAATAAGATGCAATTGAAGCAGTAATGTGTAAAATGTTGCTGGCATTAAATGTCAGAACAGGTGAAGATGAGACTGAGGGGTGATCAGAGTGTGGTGTTTTAAACTGCTTTGAATAGTTTGGTTTCTCTCCTGCGATAGCTTGCCCTTTCTTTGCTCAGTTGCTGTCAGTATGTGGTTGCGTGGAGAAATGTCTGTGTGTGCAGCTCCATGCTGTGGCCAGGTGTCCCTGCAGCCTCTCCCAAATCTGGGGAGAGGGTTTGGGTCTCACCTGCTCTTTCCCAGATCCAAATCAGTTGGGTTTTGATAGTCTAAATTGCAGTCCTGAAGCCCAGTTTCCAGGAAGGAGCCCTCGCTGTCTGACCGAGACCCTTTTCCTCTTTTCTCTGCATGTGTGGATTCCTTCTGATGCCACAAACTGCCTTCTCATCCCTGCCAGCGTGCGTTATTTCCTGCGGGAATGGCCTCTTCTGTAGATACTTGTAGCCCAGTCCCTCTCCTTTTTGCACAAGTGAACTCTGGCAAGAGAGCGTTGCATCCCTGTCTGCGTTGCAGTAACTGTCGTGGGCCTTCCCTTCTGTGTCCTTTCTTCTGCTTGTTACTCTAAAACACTGAATTTGAGAAAAGGAGAGCAGCTTCTCTCCTGTTGTGCACTGTCTCTCGGTATACCCTGCAAAGAATAAATGCTGCATTCTTCTTATGGCTGCTAGGAAAACAGTATTTAATAGCCTTCTCATGGTGGTGTGGTTTGTTTTTTTTGTTTGTTTCTGTTTTGCTTGTTTGTTTTTAAACCATTTTTCTTTAGCTAATGTATATTCTTTCCCAGTAAAACATTCTATCAGTCTGGAAAATTGAGTGTAATGTGGATATGTGCGTGTGTGTGTGTGTGTGTGTGTGACTAGATAGATATCTATGTACTTTACCTGTTAGCTTGTGTAAAAATGCTGGAAATAGTTAAAATCATTACAAACCCATATAATAGGCAGACTTTATATATATATATGTATTTTTTATATATGATGTGTATTATATATATGTCATATGTAATCATCATATGATATGTACAATCAATATATCATATATTTGTAAATATGTATTTTATAAAGGTCTGTTATGAGGCTAGAGAGCTTTATTGAAGCAAAATGTTTGTACTGACCTTCATAATAAAATGTAGAATAGCCTTGTGCCTTCTGCTGTAAAGCACGAGAAAGTCGTTACAAGGCATAATTGTCCAAATCATCTAAGAATAATAATAATGTATCTGGCTTTTATGAATAATGTCTTCTTTTTCTTTCTTTCCTGCAGTCGTTTGCTGACAGAGTATCAACAGAAATGCAATGATATCCTTTTTTGTATATGAAATTAATTCTGTAAGAGGTCTTGAGCTTTAGACTTAAGTTAAAGGAGGATGCCTCTCTAGTAATGAATAAACTTCACAAAGATTTCACGGAAAGCAGGGCTTTGGAATTAAGTTTAATGCACTTAACAGCTGACTATGTCTAACATGAATTCATGTGGACTCTTTTAAAGCTGTGCTGTTGAGAACAAAACAACGTTTTGTTTTGTATCGGAAGAAGCTCTAATGTTATTTTAGTTATTTTAGTGCCTCTGCTTATTCATTTCAAACATATTGAAATGTTTCTCTAAAATGTGTTGTCTGTTGGAGGGAATTGATGGTTTTATATTTCTTTGCAAGTAAGGATTGGATTCAAATACAGTAAGGAAAATACAGTAAACATACAGTAAGTTTCTACCTTAATAACCAATTACAGCTTCAGTTTGCTGAAAGGTAAGGAAGAATACAATCTACTTAAATAACCAATTTACCTAACGTGCTGTATTCTCTGTGTCTTAGACAGCTTTAGGAGCCTGTCACTGTAATAGCAACTGCCCCGAGTCTCTGTTAAGCTTTTGATCTGATCCTTTTCCTCAGCTATGTATAGGCTTTAATTTGCAAAGATATTTCTGATGAGGAGAGAAATATGAGGGGCACAAAGGGACAGAGTCAGACTGTGCAACCTTCTGGGACAGTACCTGGGCTAGTAGTATCTTTTCCTGACCTTTGTTGCTTAAGGGCGTAAGGTGACCGAGTGGAGCTGAGGAGCTCATCTTTTGGTGTCCTTCAGACACAGAAGTATTTGGGGCAGCTCCGTTTTTCTGATGCGTTTTGACTTAGAGTTTTTGACAGGACTGCTTGCACTCTACCTGGTTGTGCAGGAAGAGGCAGAGGCAGCCTAGCATCATTGCAGACCCTGTCCTGCTTGCACTTGGACCCTACCCTTGTTTCACAGCCCTGCTTATGTGGACACACTTGCTGCTGGCATCTTGGTGTTGGATGCTGGGGGACTCTGCTCTGTGACCTGTGCAGCCTGCCTGCACCCAACTTGATGCCCCATTTAATGTCTAGCTTTAATAAGCCCTGTAAACACTGAGTTTAGGCTTCAAAACATCCATGGCACTATGCTTTGTTTTTAATCTTGCTTTTCATTTCAGAGAAATCTCTGCTCTTCGCTGCCAAGTAGAGCAGATGCTGCAAAAAATCCTGCCTCTGGAGAAGTGTCAAGAGGAGTTGGGTTCTTTGAAAGCAGAGTTGGAAGAGAAAAAGGTGCTCTTAAGTTTCAACCAACTTTCACTTTTTTTTCTGTTGAAGGAACTGTGTGTATTTAACTCTCATCTTAATGGTCTTGGTTGTTATTTCCAGCTCTTTAGAACAGGCAACTCTTGTTTTGAGTCATTGTGATTGAAGGGTAGTGAAACCTATATAGGTTTCTAAATCTGTATGTATAATGAAACTTATAGAGGGGAAAAGTTCAGCTCTTTCTGTGGTTTGTGATTGGATTTTTTTTTTAATTTCTGTGATTTATGGAGCAAACAATCGTATTTTCAAATTCATTTAGGTTTCCATTCCAATCTTATTAGGTTGTTGAATTCTCCGTAAGCTATTATAATAAAAAAGGACCAAAGGTGATCTGTCCAGAGTAGTGTTTTGCTTCTGAAAAGCTTTTGGCACTTAAAATTCCCCCAATACAGGTATTTAGTAGACACTAACTGTTACTTACGGCAAGGGAATAAAATACTTAATAATACTTAAAATACTTAAGGGAATAAAAATGAACAAACCTCTCAGTCTTCCATTTCTTTAAATCTCCCTATGAGATAGGAAATTAACGTTTGTCCTATCACTCTGCCTAGTGTCTGTGTTAGTACTGTTCTTTAGTCTTTTGAACAGTTCTCCCTCAGCAAGTGTTTGTAGTGGAGGTCCTGATGGCATCTCTGCAGGAAAAGCAGGCTACTGTATATAGTTGTATATAATAATTGTGCTCTTGACTTCATCTTTGGGTTCCTACCCAAGTAGCTGATAGAGGCACAGACTCCAGAGATGCTGCTGTTGTCATCAGAACTTGTGTCTTTAAAGAACAAATATAATCTGATGTTTCAACTCGCTTGTTTGCCTAGCAAACTTTTTCACTCTCTAGTTGTTGCATTACAGTAGGTAAACTCTTTACCAGTTATTTTCTATCTTCTCTGAGGGCATATTTTAACTGTGATTTCTTTCTTTGTAGAGCTCTCTCAAGATCTACCAAGAGAGTCAACTGGAATATGTTAGAATTAAAGAAGAAATAGTAAAAAGCGATGCAGTGTGAGTGATGACGTTTTTGTTACCTTTTTTCTTTCCGTGGCTTACCGTACAGGATGTGTTCCTGTACCTTGCTAGTTATGCTTCCCATTTTGATGAAATTCTTATGGTTATGAGATTTTTAGAGCACAGAGTTGATGGAAGAATTGTCTTGTAGCGAACTTTCAGAAAAGGCTGTGTTAATTGGTATGTTGTCTTGAAGTGGTTGTGGCAGTGAAGGATTTTAAGAGGAGGATGAAATGGGAGAAGAAGCTCTAGTTTCTTCATGTACTGGTTTAAGCCGTTCTTAGTCATGGCTTTTTGTTACTGTTCTTTGTTTTTTTGCTGTTTGTAAGTACAGTGCTTCTATGATTTGGTCTGAAGATAATCTGCAGGAAAATATAACAAGTTGATTAGTTGGTTGCCTGTTTTTTTTTTTTTTTTTTAAGGAAGAAACAAAACTCTTTCCTCCCTCCCTTAAAGTCCCCACTCAACAAAAGGAAAAAGAAAAAGTTTTTTGGTATAACAACTTTCTGCAAACAATGATATGTTAATATCATCTTTTTGAACAGGAGAAAGAAACTGGAAGCAAAAGTGAAGAAACTAGAAGGTAATTTTCTATCCTGTGTTGACAGTGTTGCCCATCTTGGCTCTTTTGTTATCTGCAGAGATAATTGTGAGAGGTAAAGTTGCCTAGGTTTTACTTGACTGCTCCGAGGCAAGCCACAACCACATACTGTGCAAAATGTCTGAATTGTTTCAGTTCTTCTGTAAAATCTTGTCAGTCGAGTGTCTTAGGCTTATTGTGTGAATCAAGTTGGAAGGGCCCTCATGAGGTCGTCTAGTCTGATCTTCCCTACAGGCAGGGCCAGCTCTGAGGCCAGACCAGGTTACTTGGGGCTTTCTGCAGCTGGGGCTTGAGGACACCCGGATGTGGAGGCTGCCCAGCCTCCCTGGGCTACTGCTCCGCTGGCCTCACAGGGGACAAAGTTTTCCTTGGAGCCAGGTGGAACGGACCAGTTCAGCCTAACCTCACTGCCTCATCCTCCCAGCGCACGGAGCCTGGCCCTGCCTTCCTGACCGCCTCCTGCCAGGCACTGAAGGGCTCCTGTCAGGTCCCTCCCAAGGGAAGGGACCCTCCTCGGGGGGATCCAGCCCAATTCCACCAGCTCAGCCCATGGTGCATGTCCCCACGCACCTGAAGCACCTCCACAGGATCGTTCCGGCTGTATTTTTGAATACGTAGTGATGCTGACATGTCTTTCCTGATTTATTTAAGGATTCTAAGAATGTTTTTGCCTCGTGGCATTGATTTTCTTATGTTTCGCAGTTTTGTTTGTTTGTTTTGCTTGTTTTTTTCCTTCCCATTTCTCTCTAGCAGAAAATGGAAGTGCATAAAATATTATAATTCTTACCTTGCTGGACTACTGGTTGGCAAGGGGAGCACTTTCTTGCATGGCACACTTGGACTCAGCTGTGCTTACCACAATTTAAAGTATTTCCACAGACATTACAAGAGTAATGAATTGCTGTTGACTGGCCACAGTGAGCTGAATGACTTGTGTCTGAGTGTTAGAGTCCCCTGGAATCATACTGTAAAGTGTTGGGTGTTTGTTTAGATGAGAATTTTGTAGTTTCACTGCCTGGCAGTCTCTCGCACTCAAAAATCACACTTAAAATTCCAGTAGAGCTAGAACAAAATTCAAGTTCATTAAATCAAGTTTGAGAGACTTAACTTCTCAAATCTGTTCTTCTCTGTGTTCAGTAAACATCCCAGAGCCCATATTTTTAGCTTGTGTCAGTCCTAAATTTTTCCCTTGATGACTTTTTTTTTTTTTTTGGTCAGCCAACCATCCTAGCTTCCTTTTCCGTGCTCTTGGCACTGTCTCTTCTCTGATCTGTTTAGCAAACACGTTCCTTCTGTCCCTCTTCTGCCCTGTACCTGTGAATCACCAAGCTGACCCCTTCTTAGAAGCTCTCTTAGATATTTCCCCAGTTTCCCCAAGAACTGGGGAAATTCAGTTCACATTCAATTCCCATGCCACGTCCTGCATATATTCTCATTACTTCCACCTGCTTGTCCTCTTCTGTAGTCTCTGTTAGACTTTGAGAAACATGGTACTGTTCTCTGTTTTTATTTTGGTTTCAAATTTTGTCCTCATCCATCTAATGCTGATGGCTGTGGTTTATTATTTATTTATGATTATCTGGAGACCTATGTAAAACATTATGAACTTTGATTCAAAGCCCTTCTGGGGCGTGTGGAAAACCATCCACTTCCCTCTTAGCCCCTTTCCATCTTGTTCTACTGTACTATATGCAACAGTATATGCTACTGAACTGTATATGCTACAATGTGACCTACTCTTCTTTCTCATGTGTAAGAAAGAAAAGTATATATGTATTATAGTCATTTAGAACAGTAAGTATGCAGTGAAAGAGAACATACATGGATGATTTATGCATAAAGTCATGAAGTCTCATTGAGCCAAAAATATAACTTTGTCAGATTTGTTTTTTACACTCTTTACTCTTTTTTGGTGATTTGATTTGCAAACGGATGACCCTTATTATTTAAATTAGTAGTCTTCTCTGTTGTAGTTTCTAACTTGAACTTTGGTTCTCTCTCTTGAAGAGGCAGCAACAAAGCATACCCAAGACTTCAGACAGCTGAAAACTGAAAAGAAGGGGCTTGAGAAGGAGCTAAAGAAGGCCCAAGTAAGACTGTTCTGTTTGTGGATTAGGTATCTCTTAGTATTTCTGGGGAAAAAATAAAGGAGGTTATGCTTATAAAACAGATGCTGAAATAATGAAGTTATGTTTTTGGGGGTGTTGAGTGGAAAAAATCTAAAATTTGGAAGACTGTTTTGCTTAAAAATGAAGCATGCCATTTGAAATATTGATTTAAATCTCATGCAGTTTAAGCAAGCATAGATGTTTTACAGATTTTTCTTCGTGGAAGCTTAACATTTATTTAATTTTAACAGGGAAAACTTGATGGTACTCTTAAGGAGAAGTGCAGAAAATGTAAGTGTCTCACTTTGGTTCTCTTCAGGTTGCACTCCATTGTCCAGTTTGAACACACCTCTTCTTTTCCTCCTCCCTCCCTTTCTTTTCAGTTGTTAAACATGCAGAGACACAGAGTTCTGGTGAAGATGTTACAACAGATATAGACAAAGGTAGGATTTCTAGAAAATCTTTCCCTCTGCAATATAAACCATTATGAATTTGTCACTTGCCTGGAAATTAGTTTATTCTGTTACTTAAAGCTGTGTTTTTGGAGTGCTGAGTGTTGCGTGTGTGGAACTGGAGGATGATGACAGGATTTCTGTAAGGGCAGATGTCGCTGATGCAAATCTGTTGCCCTGGTTAAGGAACATAGCCACTAATGTATTAAATAGCTCAGTTTTCTCTGTGCTGTCAGTAAGGAAGATGCCTGAGTCATTAAGATGCCTGTGGTCTGCCTCAGGCATGTGAAAGGCAGATTGATTTGCAGCCATAAAATGGAATGTAACCACTGAGGGAAATATAAACCATGCCATTGTCTTCAGCTTTGACTCTCCCTGAGATCATAAGGAAACATGGAGACATCCCCTTTATTCATCTAAATTTTCAGCTGCTGACTTGAAATGTCCCCTGCAAATTCTCTGAGCACAATTGCATATTCGAACAAACTCCTGAACTTCAACTGAGGACAGGTAGAGGCCAAAATTCAATCCACTGTGCATATATTTTTTTCATTTTTGCACTCTTTTTAGAAGTACTGGCAGTGCTTTTGAATATTACTCTTGCAGGTAGATAAAAAATTTGAAAACAGATTTCAGACAAAATAAAAACCTTCTTACTTTCTACTTTGCAATATTTATACATGAATTTTGTTATTCCAAACTGATCTTCTCTGAAGAAGAGACCTTGTCACTGCTTATGTGTCTTGGTGCATTTTTTGCCTCCTTTACTGTACTAAGGGTTCATTGTACTAAACTGTACTGAACCTACTGAACTGAACCTACTACTCTACTGCAGGTTCATTGTACTAAAAATGAACCTGTTTTCATCCCTTCATTTTTTGGTATTGGTCAGATGGGGAAATTAAGATCTGAGCTCTAACTTGAGAATGATTAGTAGCCATCGTGCAGAAACAGGCTTGTTTTCTTATGTGCAGTTATTTCTTATTTTTATTATACATCTTCTCATAAGATGCAGCAGTTTGTCCTTGACTTGCAGAATTGCCACAAACCAGTTTTCTTGGTTGCTAACTGTTGGAGCTGATGATCCTTGATCTTGAGTCTTGCCTTAGGGGAGTGAGGTCCCTGTGATGTTGTTGGGTTTTTGGTCTCCATCCGTCACCTTCTGCTCCAGGAACGAGGGTGTCTCTGCGCGACGATGCTGTTAGAAGTCCAGGCAATATCTACTAATGCTGTAGCTTCATACTCAGTTCAGAAACATTTGTGTCCTGTTAATTATTGATGAGACTGAAATGAATTTCTGCTCAGTGGGCAGAGAGTTGGCAAGTGTTATAAATACTGTTTTCATTAAACATTCCCTCCTCCGTTTACCTTGATGTCAGCTGAGTTCTTATTTTAATTTACATTTTATTTAGTTTAATTACATTAATATTCTCTTCAAATCTGCTTTTATGTGGTGGTTATACTGACCAGTGCTGCAACTTTTTTTTATCATCATCATTATGTACGGGAAAAACTAAAGCATTCCGAAGCTGTTCCTTCAGTTTACTGTGTAGATATGTCCAGGACACATTTATTCCCTTTATATCATCTAATATCTCTTCCTCTCAAGCTAAAAGACCTACCTGATTTTGTAATGAATGTTATTCACTCTTTGTTGCAGTTATATCTGTGTTCTGAGTAAGAACAAAATTATAAATATTTAGCTCTCTGCATAATTGAGGCTTTCCTCAATTTATAAAAGTATTTCTTTTTACAGAAAAAATAAAACTGTTACTGAAAGAGCTCTGGATATGCATTGATGGTGCCACAGGAAAAAGAGAGAATCAGGAAAATGATTACATCTTGGGTGAGATGGCATGCAAAATGTTCAGATTTTCTTGACACTCGCTCAGTTTTTCCAATCAGATTTAAATATTGCTAACTTCTTTCCTCAGCCTCTAGTCAGCATAAGTCACGGCCTGAAAAAAGAAGACATCTTGTTACACGAGGTAGGTCCCAGTGAATGAAAACAAACAAAATTAATGCAAGTACATTAATTTGTCCTTACTGAATATATCATCAAACTGGTTACTCTTAGCATATAACAGTAACACAAGAGGAATAAGAACTGTGAAGCTGCACAAGTATTTCTGTAGCTGTCTGTCCAGTGTGTGTGCGCTAACTAATCCATTATTTTTCTTTTATTTTCTATACTGCTGTGGTTTTCTATAGTTTAATCTGGCCTGATACTGCCTGGGAGAAGAACCCAGTTGAGAGCTTTGAAGATGAGCTATGCCCTCTCCTTGCCCTTTTAAGTCTGAACATTTGCTACCAGTGTAGATCCCAATGAATCTAGTGTCAGATTATGTTGGAGTGAAATCCACTTTATAGGTGCCAAAATACCAGGGTAGGATTATCACCCTTGCCGCTGTCAGCCTCTGCTCAGCAGATCTGCAGCTCCAGAACTAAGCTAGGCAGTTGTCCCCTTAGATTCTGAATGTGATTCCTCGATCAAGGATCAGACACTGCAGAGACACTGCTGTCCTTGTCCTTGTCGTGTGGGTGACTTTAGGAGCGTGAGATTCCAGTGCCATCCTCTTCTCCCACTAAGGGCAGCACTAGATTTAAGGCCTGATTTGTCCCTTTTTCCCCTTTTGCTTCTGACGGAGACTGTAGTGATTTCACAGATGGAAGTCCATACTAGTCAGTCCCTGCCTTCCTTCTGTTGGGGTGGCTGGATGTTGGAGAGGTGGATCATACTTTCAGTTGCTTTTTTCCCTTCCTTTCTTCTCTTCAAGTGCAGGACAGCCATCATGGTGCTTTGCCACATGAAAGTGGCCATTACCTTGGCAAGCAGGATTGAGAAGATCAAAATGCTAACGATGTTAACGAGTTAGGAATTTATGTTAAGTTCCTGTCCAAGGTGGTGGCAGTTTCATCTTTGGGAGCAAATCAGCCAGCAGCTTTAGGGAAAGAGTTTAATGAAGTAGTGCATGATCCTAAGACTTCTAAGAAATTGCTGTAATTAGAGAAGATGGTCAGAGCTTTCTCATCTGTGGAGGAACGAGGTGAAAGTCTCTCTTCCTAGTGCAGCAATTGAGATCTTGGTGGGTGGTGCATCAGGAGGGAGATCTTTGTGCATTCACTTATCTTTTGTATAGAGAAAGAAATATGTGCGAATAATAACATCTGATGTCTCTATGGAAAATATATCTCAAAGAGGTATAAGTACTTATTACAATCTATAGGACCACTTCTTGAAAAAGTGGTAAGGCACTTTTGTTACTTAAAAGTTTTAGGAAAATGGGGCAAAACACATTAATTTCTTCCCAATATTTTTGTTTCCTAGAAACTGTGCAGGCTCCCCCGAAGATGAGGCCGCCCGAGGAGCTGCTGCCCTGGCGTTCGGCGCTAGACAGTGCCCAGAGACACAATGCTGCAGCAGCCCCGCAGGCTCGAGCGGGTGCAGAGCCCTTTGGAGATGACCGTTGTGAAAGTGGGACTGCTGAGGAAGGTCTGCAAGGTTGTACTAATGATAGTGCTTTTTGTGAGGACAGAGCTGTAGAGGTTATAGTACAGACAGAAGGGGCCCACAGCAGTTCAGACTTTTCTGAACAGGAGCAAAAGAGCCCATGTGGAAACGTGATGGATATTTTAAGTTGGGCCAGGCCTCTCCCTGCTCTGCTTTCTCCAGTGCAGCTTTCACCACTAGCTACAGAGGTGAGTTTCAGGATATTTGTGTGAATTAGCAGTAACTTGGTCAACTACTGTAAAAGTGACAATTTGGGATGCTGCTCTTTTTCTGTTTTGTTTTTTTTAAACTCTCATTGCAGAGGGAGGGTGGTTGAACATCTCTTCCGTACACTGGATGGGGTCTGTGTCTCTGTGTTTAAATCTAAATATATACCTTTTTTTGATCTCTAGTATATTGCTTGTTTCTGAAGTATATTTAAAATGAAGTTGTTAATGTCTCAATTGCTGTTATAACTTCTTTTTCCAGTGCTACAGACTTAACAGCCTTGATTTGGGGGTGATGGGGTAAGCCTAGCTCTTGTAACAGACTTTGAAATCTTGAAACTCGAGGGAGAACTATTTCAAGTGTTTTGGTTTGTAATTCTAGAGTGTAAGTCTTTAGGCAAAGAAATTTGAAACATTTCTGTTCACAAACGTGCTTTCCTCCTGCTGCGGAAAGTAATGATGGAGAGGGATTTTTATCTTGTGGTCAGCCTTTGTATTCCCAAATCACTGTGCATCAGGGCTGCCATTGTATTTGTTGAGAGAAATACAGACCTTGGACTTGATAACGGGCTTGAGGAAAACTAATTTCTTTGTATTTTTAATTGAAGGACGTGTTGTTTGGAGAGCTCACGGACTCCAGCGATGAAGAGGTTGATTGCAGTGTTTCTGCCGCAGATGGTGTCGGAGAAGAAGGCCAAGTTCAGCCTTGTTCTCACATACTTGGCCTCAGTGAAGAGCATGTCCTTGATGAAGGAATCTTGGGCAACCTGAGAAATGGTGAAAAATCTGTTCCTGCTACTCCAGAGATGCTAAGCAAGGAGGAGGGAGATGCTGTAACGGAGCAACCTGAGGCGGCCGTTTCAGTTACGAATATAGAATCTAACAAAGAGCTTTTGGGGAAGAACTCTGAGAATGTGAAAACTGAGAAGACAGAACTACCTGACGTAACAGCACATAATCTGGAAGCCATTCAAGAAGAGAGAGATCTTGAGAATATGCCTGATGAATATGGAACCTCTTCAAGTGATTGTATGCTAGGCGATTTCCCGCCTCAGAATTGGATGGAAGAAAGTGGTAAGATAGTGCGAAAAGAAGAGAATCTAGTCTTAATTGGAGCTGCTGATTATGAGAGTAAGTGTGAAAACCCTGATGAGTTAATGAAAGCAGGAGATGGTTTATCCGTAGAGGGAGAAAGTCCTGGGGCTGTATCCGTTCCCCAAAGTGTTGACTTGCCTCCTGAGCAAGGTGGCTTTTTGCTTCAAAGGGAAGATTCTGAAGAGAAATCTAATGTTTTGGCAGAGAATGAAGTAGTTGAAAATGGAGTCAAAGACGTAACCAAAGTAAGTAATGTGACAAGTGATACAGAAGAAAACACAGAACAAATGGTAATTGGAGAGGAAGTAACAGGTGCAGCACAGGTAAAAGGATCCTGTGCAGAGACAAATAACGAGATGAAGCTCTCTGAGAACGTACAGTCTGACTGCAGGAATTCTGAATTCTGTGAAGCAGAGCCTGCTGAGGGCCTCATCATACCGTGTCATGGGGACAGTGTGGAGACTGAGATAGACACTGGAGCTCCTGAGGGCTCTGCACACTCTCAGTGCTCAGAAATGAGACAAGATGGGGAAGAGATACTGCAGAAACAATGTGTGCCTGCAGAAAAATACCGAGTGGACAAAGACTGCAAACCAGAGACTTGGAACATCTCTACTCATCACTTGCTTGTAGCAGCTACTGAAGAAATCAGAAATCCGCTGTGTGTAGATGACACAGGGAGAACTGTAGCTGTGGACAGAATTTCTTCTTGCTCACCGAGTCCGAAAGATGATGAAGAGCTCAAGGTGCAGGAGGTGAATGCTGCCAAACCCGAGACTATTGAACAAGCCCCGAACCTGAATAAAGATGATGCTCCAGAAATAGCTGAGTCATCAGAATTACTTCATAGAGCAGAAAAAGGAGTATTACTAGGTGTAAAGGAGGGGGATTCGTTAGAAGTTAAACTACATGAGGATGAAAAAGATAGTAATTTACTGCAAAAGGAGTCAGACTTCAAAAGCACACCAGCCCTACAAAAGGCAGCATGCATTACTGAGGCAGAAGATGAGGAAGTAAAGTGTGTCTCACCTGTGCTCAATTTTACAGAAGGAAATGATGAAGTGAAACAAGCTGAAAGTCTGTGTAGTGCATTAGAATGCGGCTTGTCCAAAACTCAGAACTTAGAGATTGAATCTCAAGAGACTGAATTCCGGGTGAAACCAGAAGATTTTGGAGAAGAAAGCAGTGAGCCAAGAGAAATGGAGGAAGTGGGTTCCAGGCAGTCTGTCTTGGCAGAAGGCAAGCTTGCTTCTCCAGCACAGTTTGCAAAAGGTGCTAATCAGATCTCAGGAACTGAACCTTTGCAATGCAGTGGAGTAGAAGGGGAACTAAATAAGCAGAGCAAGGAAGTGGTCATTGAGAGCTGTGCCAGTTCACTTAGCTGTGAAGACAGTATTGTGAATAAGAGAAATAACATTTCAGAGATCACATGCCAGGCTCCATCAGAAGAAGATTTTAATGGTAGATTGTCTTTGTCTACTCAAGAGGCTTTGGAGCCAGTGTGCATAGATACTGAAGAAATGGATCCCTCTGTTCAAATGAAAATTGGCTTGGAATCCCCAGTGCCTACTGATCTTAATTTTGGTTTTCAGGAAGTTGGCAGTTTTGAGACTAATTTCACAGAAAATAGCACTGCTGCCCATATATGGGAAAATGAAGGGGATAAAAAGGATGTGATGTGTAGTGTGTTTAACTGCTCTTTGGCAAGTGTGGGAGAGAGTTTTGAGATCTTACTTGCTGAAAAAGAGAGCCCGTGTAAAGAACTTAACTGCCCTGAGAGAGAATACACGACTGAAAATGAAGTGGGAATTCCATGTGAGAAGGAACAGCCAGTAGAGGAAGAACCTCAGCCATCAGTAGAAACACATATCCTGGATGCAAACTCCTCTGATAAATTCTGTTTCCAGAAGCTTTGTGAAGAATTAGGGTGCAGGACCCCTGTGTGGGAAGCTGATACAGCTCAGCCTGATGAACTAACAGCTGGAGGAAAAAGCAAAGAATTGGACAGTGTTGAGAAACCTGAGCAAAGTGACAGTAAAAGGTCTAAAAATGCTTTTGAAATCCCAGAACAGAGCAATGAATCTGAAGAGAGAGACTGTCCTGCACAAAAAGGCAGGTTTGTGCAGCCGCTTGACTGTGTCCCAGTGCTCAGAGAAGACCTGAGAGTTTCCAGGACGACTGTGGGAGAGGCCCTGGAAACTGGTGCGGTCGCTGACCCTGGTAACAGCCCAGTTTGTGAGCGTCCCTCCGCAGGGTCCCCGGGGACGGGGCGGGCACCCAGAGCAGGCGCTGGAGCAGACAGGAGCGCGCGCTGCGACGCCGACACCTCCTCAGGCACCGCAACCGAGCTGTCGGGTTTGGCCGGGGAGAGTCATCCTGAAGACTTATCTGCTGTGCAAGGAGGACTTTCATTAGAGGCCTCTGGAGATACTGAGGGTGCCTGTGAGTGTAGGGAAGATCCTCGTGCTGCTGAGGGCGTGCGTAGCAAGGAGGAAAGCCTGATAAAAGCTGGAGCTTCAGGAGAAATCTTTGCAATGCCAAGTCCTCCAAAGCGTAGGTTGCCATTAACGACGTCCTCAGAAAATGGACTTGCTGTAAAAAACAGTAAATTGAATACAGAAACGTTAGCACTTAGCAATTTGTTAGAACGCAGTGACTGTGGAAAACATCGGTTGGATGTGGAGCGAAGTCAATTACATAGTGTTGATAGAGGGGTGTCGGTGCTTGAAGAGTATAATCACAATCAAACTCCAACTGTTTGCAGTCAGAAAGACACCAACGCTGATAGTACGCAAGGTGGTTTTCAGCCTTCTTGTTGTTGCAGTTGCACTTCTTGTGCTCAGAAAGACTTTCTGAGTAGTGATGGAAAGAACTGCTCCGTCACAGCCCCGTCTGAAGCAGTGTGCAACTCCCAGGCCCTCAGCCAGCCTTCTGAGCTGCTAAAAGGAGCTCCTGAAAAGCCACCTGTGTTGGAATTAGGATCTTGTGTCGATGCTGCCCTCGAAAAGAACAATAAATTGAAGAGCCAAGTGCAGGAACCATCGGAAGCCTTGACTGCCTCAGCCGAGACAGCCGTCCAGGTGACGCCCGGCAGGCTGTCCAAGAGGCTGGCGCGAGGAAAGGGAAGGAAAAACCCCCTCAAGGTTAAGGCAGCTCAGCCTGTTCTTGCAAACGCCGATACGTCAGTGCCCATGAAATGTTCATCTGAGACTATAAATAAAATCAGGCAGGAAATGGGTCCTCCCCTGCCTCCTTTGCTGCTGCCTCTGCTTGCTACTCCCCCCCGAGCTGCGTGTTCTGCCTCCCCGGGCACGGCTTCGTCGGGCCGCTGCTCCTTGCTCTCTCCTCTCGACGACCTCATCTCCCCGCTGCGGGAGACTCCGGTGCCTCCTCTCATGTCTCCGTTGACAGCTACCCCGACAGCCAAGTCTGCCCTCCTGTTCTCCCCTTCGTCCCCTTCGGAAGTGGCAGTCGGCAGAAGAATCCTCTCTTCTCCTTTGAAGTTCTGCACTTCCATTCCAAAGCACGCGCTGCCCGTGCCAGGACGATTTCCTCTGTGCGCAGCTGAGGCTGCGGCTCCCGTTGTCGCTCAGGAGAACTCCGTGAGGATACTGGACACCATGTATCCAGAGCTGTCCGCAAGGGCCAGGACACTAAACATTTTGAAGGGCAATATTCAGCTTAACCGAAGCGCCCTTCCAGAGGGCCACAGTTTGCCAGGTCCTGTCACCCAGATAGGGGGGTTCAAAGCAATCGCATCTACGTCGACTGCCTTTGTTAAGACAGGCAGCAATTTGAAAGCTGACAGCAGCAAAGAGCAACCCAAAGACACGCAGGAGCAGCCTCTGGTTCCCAGCATGCTGAATCGTACTGGGAAAAGGACATTGATGCCAATGCCCAGAAGTGCCAAGAGGCTGAGGCTGGACAGCGAGTCGCCAAAGCTGGAGCCCGGCGACACTGCTGCTGTCAGGATGACTGAAAATAAAATGCCTGATGAGCAGGGACCTTTGCATGTCGAGAGCTGTGAAATCAGTGATTCGGCCCACAGCTCCATGGCAGCAGCATCTTCATCAGCCAAGGTCACTGATGCTGATTGCCAAATAGTTGCTGGGGCACTGAAGAAAATCGCAGAATCCTGTTTCGACTTGTTGCCTGTTATCCGAAGTCACGTATACGTAGGCAATGTCTCAAAGGTGCCGGTAATGACGGACGAAGAGAAAGAAGTTGTCTATGAATTTGGTGTCACCAACAAGGTGTGTAGCATTTCGTGTTTGAATAATGGCCTCTGTGCAGATGAAGGGAGTGTGGATGTGCAGGCGCTAAACCCACAGTTGGGCAGCCTGTTGTGCTGAAATGGAGTCACAAAAGGTTATGAAGTAAATTCTAAACTGGTGGCACGCTAGCGAATACAAAACATAATAGGGCAAGAAGTCACGGTTCAGTGGGGTCCAAGATGTCAAACTGCACGTGTAAACCTGTTTGCTTCCCTGATATTTGCATAAAGCCTTTTTTTAACTCTACATCCTTTTATGTAGCTAGTGGAGTTAGCTGTAGAATGAGTTTTCTTCTCAAAGTTTGATTCATCCTTTTTTTTTTTTTTTAGATTAAGAATATAAGCTACATCATACATATATGCATTTATATATTTCTGTTATAGTGGCATACCTTTTCTTTCATGTCACCTGGATTATCGTGGTACACTAAGATATTCAAACAAATATTAGCGAAGAAGTCTTTTACTAGTTTGTTTCTCAGAACTTGTTTTGCATCAGAGTTGGAAATACTTGCCCTGATAGCCCTGCCATTCTCAAAGGCGCTTGGAAATCTGCAGCAGGATAATCTTCCCACTGACCCACAGCAGCATTTGCCCTGTTCAATTCCAGTGTTTCCAGCGCTCAAACTGAAAAGCAGCTTTTGAGTTCTGGAGGCATCTGTGTTGGTGGCTGCTGAAGCGGGTTGCCTGGTGGAAGTGAGGCTGCCACAGCCCTGTGCTCCCGCGGGCAGGGAGGAGGGAGCAAGGCTGAGCACCACGTGCTCCCGAAACCGGGGTGCTGAGCACACAGCCCGGCACGGACAGAAGGGAGCACTAGCCCAGGCACTGCAGCCCAAGGAGCCGTGTTTCCTTCTCTTAAATCATCCTCGTAGTCGTAGTGGAAAATGAGGCATGCATGTGAATATCTACAGTATGGGTCCCTCTAGCTGCTGGCCTGAGGCATTCAGACCTTTGATGTTCCCCACGTGCTGTGCACACACACACCCACGTCTCCAGTAGCTGGACCTTAGGATTTCCCCATCAGGCAGCACTGGGACCCTGCAGTGTCTGCAGATACCTGCCCTAGGCCTGTGGCCTCGTGAGCACCAGGCTCCCCCAGGCCTTTAGCCCTTGCCTTTAACATCCCGTAGCAAGTCTCACATCATCCCAAACTATTGCTGCCCTGCACGTCCCACAGCGAGTCCTGCTGGTGGGCGCCTGCTTCCAGCCAGGCTTGGAGGTGGCCTGGGGTCTCTCTGCTGCTCCCTGGCCTGGTGCATCCCACAGGCAGCCGAGGGCTTCATTGGCTTAGCTTCATCTATTAGGGTTTCTTTGGCCTGCCATCCTTCCTTTGGTTGTTATCATTGTGAATTTTGTTTATGAAAGTGAGATTCTAGTCGTGTTCTGTAGCAGTCTCTGTTTGAAGAACAGCAGTCCCGTTCTGCATCCGCAAGGTAAGTTTGCTGTAGGAAGTCACTTCCTGCTTTGGTTACATTTTTTCCTTTTGCTAATTTTCTGATTTAATCAGAATTTTAATTTTGCGTTTTAATATGTATGCAAACAGTATTTTTGCAAATGCACCAATAACTCTTTTATACAGTCTCTAGTATAGTTTTGACTTTTTTTTTTGTGCCTTACAGCATTTAGCAGAGTCACTGCTGAACACTGTTCTCAATAAACTCAAGACTCGGAAGACCACTTCAAATCACAATTTCACTCAGGCTCTCTGTAGAATTTATGTAGGAATTTGTCGGCAGCTGGGAGACTTGGAAAGAGCCCGCCTGTTCTGCTATAGCTTGCTCAAAGAAGGTAGAGTATGTCTTAGTGATGTGGCTGCAGTGCTGCAAAATGATTATAGTTGTGGAAGGGTTTTTACTTCTGTGAAAAGGTCATTTTTCTCTCTGATTTATGAGGCTCTTTATTCATTTTGTTTTTTTCCTTTCCCAAAATGGTGCTCTAAATTCAGGGCATTCTTCACTTCCTGTTTATTAGTGTCTTTTCTAATTAATATTAAGTTATTGAGCTGTTATTGATTCATAAAGTAAGTGTGATAAAACTTGGCTTAAAACAGCACCAGGGTCAGGCACTTGAGTTGGTGCTTGGTTTGATGTATTTTTTTTATGCTGTCCAGTTCTAATATGAATTCTAAAAAAAAAAAAAAACAATTGCACTGAACTGAAAAGGAAATGTGCATTTAGTTTGCTAATTTTGGACTTTTTTCTTTTCTTTTTTTCTAGCGCTCAGTTGTGGCAACATTTTTTCTTGCATATTCCAATGCACTTAATTCCTTGCTGTCTATACAGTCACCTGCTATTTTAATATTAGTTTGCCCACAAGATCTCCCTTCCGGTGTTCAGAAGGATCTGTGAGCTTCATCTAAATGGCCTGGAATTTTATCCTTCCTTAATTTTGTAGTTCTGGAAGCTCTTTTCATAGCCCCAAGCGCTGTATGCACCTTTGTTGCAGCTTTCCCTTGTCGCAGTTATGCACATGCAACCCTTTACTGAAGAGCAAAGCGTACAATTTGCTCCTTCATTGCAGGCATTTGGACTCTATCGAAACCACAGTTGATGCACTGTGAAACACAGGGTTTTTGAGGGATAGGAAGAGAAGCAGGTGCCTAGGAGGAAACAACTGGACTTTAAGGACTTCTGGATTGAACTGAATATGATTGTACTCTGATACCTGCTCTGAATTCATTTTGTAAGATTCCTTCAGCAGCAGATGTTGTGTTTGTGGGAACAGGAGCGTTGGCGTGCTAACTTGCATATAATTTTTCTGGTAGGATTTGGGAAAATTGCTTAGCAAGGTCAAATTTCATGTATATATTGCATGGAACTTCTTTGGAGGGAAAAAAAAAGGTTTTACATGTGTAAATTCCTTAAGTGTATGTGTGTGAGATAATAAATAGCATGTAGTGTCTGCAGTGAAGAGCTGATGTTCGTGTCACACATCTCAGGATTTTTTTTCCTTCTGGACTAGCTCTAGCTTGGTCCAGTGATCTGAGTTCTCATTTTTTTCCCGTTGAAGTGGAATGCATAGGCTCCTGAGTGGTCTCTTCGACTTTAATTTACTCCTAAAAGTATCCAGTTCCTGGGCTTCAAGACCACTCTCCTGAGCGAGCTGAAGTAGGGTAAGGAAGAAGTAGTGAGACTAACCTCAGAAGCCAAAGGGAATGTTTGTTTGCTTGTTTGTTTAATATTAAAAGCTTGCTCTGTTCTTTCTTTTCTCTTAGACTTTCCTGACGCGGAGAAGTTGATTTTATTTGTCACAGCTGTGTGGCCTGACATGTTCTGCTTCCAAGGTGTGATTAACAAAGCTCTGCAAGTCGTTCTCAGGCAGCGTGTCAGGGACGAGGTGCTGGCCTGCCTGAGTGCTTATCTGCCCTGGGAACAGGTAATTCCTGCTAGTACTGCTGGCGTCGGCGTGTGTGTGTGTCCGTCCCCTTTTCAAGACAAACAACTTGCTACTGATGGTGGGAAGATTCCCAGGGAATCTGCCATGGGGTCTGTACAGCTGCTTCTGTTGCAGGCTTTCTCCTGTTTGTGTCTGAACCCTGTTAGAATAGAACCCTCTCCTTGCTATCCATGTTAAATGTAGTCTTTCGACTAAATCCTTGAAGCAAGCATTGTTTTTAAACTTTGACTGATGTGTTCTTGAGCCAGGTTATAGGTTTATGTTCTGTCCTTGTATGAAACTATGATTCTAATGTACATGGAATATATATATATATACACACACACTTTTTTTTTTTTTTTTTTTTTAAATACACATTAGGCTTCTCTGTCTTCTATAGTTCACCATGTAACTGGTAATTGCCCCCTTCAGTAATTTGCAAGCTAAGCCCCAGTTGTTTTACCCACAGTCTTTCTCTTGGGAGATTGTTAATCTACCTCTACCACAAGGTGTCCGTGACCCCAGTTCCATAAGGGGTTGACATAGTCAGTGCAAAACTGCTTTCTGAAGTGGTGGTACGGGAAGGATGAGCAGGATGTTACAGACCTAAGGACCCTGGGGCTTTGGGTGTAAGCCTTTGAGCCCAGGACTTGCTGTGTGGTATCGGCGAGCCATTGAACTTCTGTCAGTTTGAGGCAGGCCTAACACTTCCAGCCTAACAGAGATGTTACAAAGAGAAGTGCAGAAAAAATTCAGAGTCACTTGCACCAGTTGGAGAAAACTTCTGTTGTGCAGATGGCAAGCCAGACATGCTTTGCTTCTGGAAGCAGGAGCGTGTGAGACTTGTGCATTTGCTTGAAAGCCAATGCCCCAATTCTTTTAAAGACCCCATATGAGTGCCAGGCTTGCTGGGAGGAAGCTCTGTGATCAGTGAACATGAAGTGAACAAAACCCAGCTTGGCTGGTGGCTCTCCCTGTCCCTCAAGGGTGTTGCTCCACATCAGCCTTGAGACTGTAGCTGTCAGCATGGCCTCTAAGCCTTGGACTTGCTGGAAAAGCAATAGCATTATTATTATTAGCATTATTATTATTAGCATTATTATTATTAGCATTATTATTATTAGCATTATTATTATTAGCATTATTATTATTAGCATTATCATCATTTTGAGATGCAGCGTGAGAAGTTACTCGTTAACCTGGAGTTTATGTGGAGTTGGGATTTAATTTGGTCTGAATATGCCAATTTAGTGACACACACCATTACAGAGCTTGCTGATTACTCAGGTTCCTGATTATTTTACATGACACTGGCTTTATTAGTATTATTTAATTTATATAAAGTACTTATTTGGAAGTTAGCTGCTAGTGAACAGTAGTAACAAACTTCAACTTGAGAAATCATTAGAGGGGAAAAAAAACAGAAATAAAGCAGGACTAGTCTCACTTTTTTTGCACTGACAAGTGGTTCTTCTGATACTACATCTTAATTGAGACAAAAAGGCCCAAATTATGGAAGGAGAGAAGAGAGGGTGCGGAGTGATCGTTCCTGTGTGTGATGAGCTTTGTTTGTTTGTTTTATTTTTGGCCAAATCCCAAGTTGAATTAATGGTGTCAGATAAGCTGCTATGAGAAGAGCAATTGCTGTAGCCAGCCAAAGGGGAATATTTGTGTATGTTTTGAGGTTGGAAGTTTTTCAGGCATTAAGATTGGCGTCTGTTGAAATGGCAGAGCTCCCCTTTGGATGCTGGTGCCGTGGTGTCGGCGCTGCTTTCGGAACTGCAGTCCTGTCGGGAAGCGGAGCTGCGGCCGAGCGAGCGTTACGGGGAAGACCTGAACGACGTTGCCTGGCAGTTCGTGTTTGCTGTTGATCTCCTCTGCTCCCACCTCAGGTGGGACTGGACCCACGACAACGTCATAAGGTACCGTGGCAAGCGGCAGCTTCTCCCCGTGTCAGCTTGCCCGGGGTTTCCTCATACTTGGGAGGCTGCAGGTTTCATGTCTGTCCTCAGTGTGGTGGGGGATCGCTGAGCAACACAGACCTTTACAGGACTGCTCCAGGCAACAAACCCCATGAGAACCAGCCTAACAATTTTGTTTTTTAAGTGGCTGTATGTGAAGGGTTTTGAGTTACCTTATTTGTTAAGGAAGCGAAAGGCTCGGTTGTCTTCCTCTGAACTTAGCTCATGATTTTTCCAGTTACTGAAAAATAAAAGTGGCTCTTGTGAACCACACTACTTGGGTGCTGGGGTGCTGAAAAGTAACAGCACGGGTACTTTTCACTAGTTTACTATCGTATTTTCAGCTTCTGTTAGCCTTTTTAATGAAGTTGTTTTACAACTAGTGGTGCAGAGCATCGGCTGCTCTCAGTATCATAACTCAGTCTGAAAGACTTCATTTTGATGATGTTCAAATATCAACGAATATCAAATGATATTCATTTTGATATCTATGTTTACTTGAGAGTGACAATTTGATATTTAGGGATTACATGAAACTAGTAGAATCTCTAAAATAACGTATTTGGGAAAATACATGACCTAATTATCTAATATGAAATAAATATGAATAGTGATGGTGAAATAGTCAAGCTTTCTAATACAGATATTCTACCTTTTTTTGTGGAATACTTTTAGATTCAATACAAATTAGCCTCAGTGAAAGATATATCATTGTAACTAAACTCATGCAGGTTTGACTACCTATGCAGAGTTATATTGATGATAAATTTAGCTCCTGGGTTAAAAAAAAAAAAAAAAAGATGCTGTATCTCAAATTATTTTAGGTTAAAAACAAGGATCAGGTCCCCTCTGTAATCTATCAATGGAAAATAACAATTAAATAACAATTTATATAAGAAGCTTGCCTAGCATCTTGATGTGAAGCCTCAAAGTAGTATCATTTCACAGATGTGCATGAAGTCTGAAGGTTGAGAACGTTGCAGGGAAAGGGAGGGATGAATTTTTTACATCAGGAATAATATTCTGAACAGGAATGATTCCTCCAGCAGGTCAGGTTTGATTTCATTTTAAAATGAAACCGGAATGATTTTAAAATGAAACTTTCAGCTTATTCAGCTTGTGAAGGATTGGAATGTTAGGCCTTTTCTTGAGAAGGTGAATTAAAATACGGGAGGAATTATGGAAAAAATAGAAGAACTATTACATGAATTGTGAATCACCCTTTTTGACCAGTATCACATTTTCAACCTCATTTCTCTTCCACAGCAAAGTACTTTGGCCTTGTATGGATAAGTGGATAAAAAACAGAAAAGGTCATGAAGTGGTTCAGTCCATTCCTGATACCATGATAGCATCAACACTTAGGCTAATTGGTAAGTGATTCTTGGTTGAATTTCTGCTTTGTAGAAATGTGTATGACCTTTGGTTCTTTCCTCCCGCTTTGTTTCTTTCCCTGCCACCTTTTTCCTTTTTTTTTTTTTTTTTTTTTTT